GCTGTACCCAATTTTATTAGTGTTCAGGCTACCAAAACAAAGGCCGAGTACAGATGAAATGGGTACGGTGCCCATTTTAGCCGTGCCGTGCCAATAAATTGAGTGTAGTGTAAACGAGGCTTGAGTTAGAGAGCAAATTATCCGAGTAAGGGAAATATAAAGTAATCTTTAAACGGAAGACGTCAGGCCTCGATGTTTGGATTTGCTCATGCAGTGCGCATCAAAGGGCCGATTTCTGTGTTTTTACTAAAGCAACGAGTTGTAAATTGAATAGTCGTCCATCTTGGACTAATTTTTAACTGAATAACTTGCGTTTTGATGACGTCTGGTGTGGAGTTGGTTTTTAAAATGACTTCCATAAATTGGCGACTAAGAATCATAAGTTGTTCAAAATGTTCCTTCATGAAACCAAAAAGGCACATGTTATTCTTGGGAGGACTAAATGACTGCCAGAATCATGAGTAATATACTCATTTCAATACCTCAAAGTCATATGACGCTCTGCCTGAATCTCGGCTGAACGGAATATTGTGACTTATGAATGATGGATTTTTTTTTCTCCCAGGCGTATTTTGACATTACAATTGGAGGTGAAAAACAAGGTCGGATTGTCATTGGTTTGTTTGGCGAAGTCGTTCCGAAAACTGTGAAAAATTTTATTGCCCTCGCAACACACGAGGTAAGACAAGCATATCGACATATCATGCACACCATATGCTACATGCACCCACGCCATTTTGACGACGTTTCAGACTTCAGGTCGTGTTTTCAAAATTTTTATCAATTTCTTTCTCGGAACAGAAAATTTTTCGCGGACCGCATGCGCAGTAGAACTGTTTCTAATTTCATTCGGAAATTTTTCTGTTACGAGAAAAGATCTGCAAAGTTAAAGTCATTGAACTTTTTTCCACCTGAAAAAACTTACATTCCGCATTGGTATTATGTCTCCCGGAATTCGTCGACGGGGAGGGTGGGCCGGGCGGGGGGCAGGTAGCTGTGTCTCTGCCTTTTATAAGAGTTAACTGCCCCCCCTTGCGGCTTGCCATCCCACTGTTTCGACGTCAAGTTACTCTTTTTCGAACGTTTGAAGGTACTTAAAACTGCGACCAAAGGCATAAATTCGAGCACTTATATTTTAAATAATCTACAAATATTCTTTAATAAGTTGGTTTTTTTTTATCAAAAAATTAGTGTGAAAGACAGTTAGTGAAATATTGTTTATTGTTTTTTTACACCAACATCGTCTTTAATAATTCTCCGTAAAGTATTAACGTCTTTCTTTTGTTCTGTTTTCATTTATAGAAAGGATTTGGTTACAGGGGGAGTAAGTTTCATAGAGTAATCAAAGATTTTATGATACAAGGTGAGGTTTTGTCTCCATAAATCACTTCAGCAGACCGCTGTGGTTTACTGGATGGTTCAAAAACTCTAGACAACAGAGACCTTTAGCTTAACCAATATGACAAACCGCGAACAGCAAACGGCTAATTTCATAACATTTAAACTTAGATTCTTGGCACTTTCTCGGCCACAATTTGTATCAATAGTTACTCTATGTTTCAAAATAATGCACCGATTTTCTCGGCCCCAGAAACCTAGCATTTGTTTTGAAAATTCGAAATGAATTTTTCTGTTTGCCGTTAAAAGGTTGTCGTAAACGTCAAGTTAAAGGTCTCTATTATTTCCGAGACGTCCTCGAAGTCACTGAAGAGGAAATTAAGAAGCAAACCTTTTTGTACCGCAGATCATGTTTATACATAGTGGGTGAATTACAGCTGTCATTTTCCCGACTGTTGCATGTAATGTAATGGATTATTCATTTCCCTAGGTGGTGACTTCACACATGGGAATGGTCGAGGAGGTATTGTGAGGATTTTTTGTTAGACCGCGGGGGTGTATTAATTAATGCAAAAAATTGAAAATATTCATGTACATTTACCACTATATTGTAGTGTATGGTGGGTATATAGATACAAATAGAGTGCTTACTGTTGCTATACTCCGACTGCTTATTATACTGCTTTTCAAAAACCTCTATTCTGATTGGTTGACGAGCGGTCCGTAAAACCCATATCCGGACCGTGGACCGTATATTTCGTATATGGACCAGTATCCCGGATGTCTCATGCAGTTCAGCCCGTTGACCTCGCTTGTTCTGTCTGTGCTGTGAAATATCAGACCGAAGTTTTTTGCATGGACCTTGCTCGGTCCATGCTAAAAAGCCTCCGTCTGATATTTCGTAGTACAGACCTCACACTCGGTCAATAATCAGTTAATATGAGCTGTTGCGTGCAGGATTGACTGAGCAACTCACATTCTATCGATATATAAGCAGGGAGCAGGCTGAGCAGCGTGGCAGTGTACCTATATAGACAAAAGTTCTCGACGTTTGATCTTTTGAGGAATGATCGAAAAATACGTATATTTGAAATGATCTTCATGCCTATCCTTGTGTTTGATTAAAACCAGGGCGCTTATATACTATATATAAAATTATAAACGTTGTGCAATCTCGGCGAATTTATTTTATTATGAGCCAGACAAACTTGACATAAAGTTATAACAAGGGCTCTTAGCAAGCACACTAGCACAGAACACAAAATATAGTTAAATGTTTCTTCTTCTCACGTTCACACGTTCTTCTCTTGGCAGGTAAAAGTATTTACGGTGAAAGATTTGATGACGAAAACTTCAGACTGAACCATTACGGTGCTGGATGGATCAATATGGCCAACGCTGGAAGAGATACTAATGGTTCCCAGTTCGCGATATTCACTGTACTCACGCCGTGGTTGAATGGACAACATGTTATTTTTGGTATAATACTTGAAGGAATGGTTAGTATCTACTGATTCCCTCTGGGATATAGTGTTCCTAGGGACCAGATTGTATTTAAATTGCATGCAAAATGATAAATTGGTCTGGAAGTGCAAAGCAAAACACACTTCTTTCACTTTCACATATAAAAACCTCCAGAAGCCGTGAAACTACTAAAGGGCTCAGACTGAACCATGGCTCTGCTCAAAATCTACTGTATTATAGAATTAGCTAGGTTATGATGGTACGTAAGGTTTTAGTTTGTAAAAACCTGCAAGAATGAGAGTGGTTAATAAAGTAACTCAACTGAGCGTTTTGGTATTGGTACTGTAGTACTAATTTCGAGTGGTATTATACACACTTCAAATTCAAGCCAGTTGATGAAAAATGAGTCAACTATAGGTCCTCTGGCAGGAATCGAACGTACGCTTTTGCGATGGCGGTGCAATGCTCTTGCCACTGAGCAAAAAGCGTGGGTTCGATTTCTGCCGGAAGACCTATAGTTGACTCATTTTTTCATCAACTGTTCCTGGCTTGAATTTGAAGTGTGTATAATACCACTCGAAATTAAGACCCTTTAAACCTCTAGAATATTCCTGCATCGAGAGAAGTGCCAAAAATCATTATTGGTACCGTAGTTATAATCATGACGATGTCCGAAATTCTTCATGCATGTGCTGTAAATTGTTTGCGTTACTGCATTCATTATCGTCAAATGCTTCGAGGATCCAAATATTTCGAAAGCCTTCTTTTATCAGTTTTTTGAAATGACTTTCTTTCAAATGGCTTTTGAAATTGTCGAGGTATAACTTTGAACTTTTTTGTCTTGTATTAACAACTCATATATCGTGCGTTAATTTACGGAGAGTTTTCTTTCGTATCATGTCGCAAAATTGTGTGCTGGAAATGTGAAAGAGATTATAATTGGAAGCTTTCGTTTAATGCTTGCACTCAACAGTTTAAGCCAAGGTTTCGGCCAACTTTGAGACTGAGAGAGGTTTTAAAATTTCAAGACCTTTTGAATATTAATTTTCGAGAAGAATGCGAGGCCGTGCATGCAGGCTTGTGCATCACCCTGTACTGTATCGTGTTCACTCAGTGCACACCCTGTGGAGGTGATGTACTGAATGAACACGATACAGTACAGCCTGGGTGATGTACAAAATTGTTTCCCGAAATTGCTTGAGTCGACCACACAACTGCAATACAATGGAAACGAGCCGATGCTCTAAGGCAATGAAGCTCATTGTGAGTAGTTTTCATTGCCAGAGAGGAAATTCGGATTTTTTCGCTTTGTAAATTTAGTAGCTATATGTATGTACGTAACGTGAACTGATGATGACCCAGAGTTAGCGCTGATAGAGCCTTGAACAACTTAGTTAATATTGAATTCTACTTTTTAGAATATTGTCAAGAAGATTGAAAACATCCGTGTTGATGGCTCAAGTCCAACCATAGATTGCGTAATAGCAGACAGTGGTGTGCTTCCACTCGATAAACCTTTCTACGTTGAGAAAACACCAGTGCAATAATTACTGATCTACAGCCTTACAGGCACTTCAGAAACATATTAAAAAACTTTCACACAACAATTTTCAGGCTGATTCAAAAAATCTTTAGTGAATTTTTCGGGATCATCAACTACCAATATTCTCCATTACCATTGGGGCAAATCGACCAGAGCAATCTTGAGCGTGCATGCCACCCAATCTTTAAATTATTCTGTTCTGAGGAAATAGTTCCCCTGGCTAATGTTTGTATCTTAGGTTGTGTTTACACCTACAGGTGTAAGCTATGGCCTGGCTTTGGTCTAGATTTTCGCAGTGTGAACGTAATAAAAATCCAATAAGATTAAGTATATGATTTCACTACAAACAAAAAATTAACAATTATTCTTTGTGGATATATTGTGACTAATGCATGGTCTTTTTGGGATGGGCAATGCCAATGGAGTGAGATATAGACTAGTGAGGCACAGCTAGACTTTTCTATTCTTGATTCCATATGAAATTAGTAGTTACATAACGTAAGGGCATTTGCGAATTTCTGAAAGCAAGACTCCGTCAAATGGGAAGCAATATTGCTTCAAAACCCCCATCGTTAAGCCGGTTTTCCACTAGCGATATTTTTCGCGCGAAGCAACATTTTACTTTTGTTTCAGAGCTCTCAACTGCAACCATCTGGAACGAATTGCTCAAATAACAAAGGAATAAAGTCGCTTCGCGGGAAAAATATCGCTAGTGAAAAACCGGCTTAACGCAGGATTGGCTGTAAAATTTGCATTCACGATAAAATTTGCAAAACAAAACATTGGAACGATTATACATTAAAAATTGGATGGATTTTTAAAAATCTCGATTACACTGTAGGACTAGGGTATCGATAACTTCATGAAGTAACCCGCAATCACACCGTACAGAAATTTATAATAAACACCCATTTATTCCTCACATGCTTTACCAACCGCATTGCTAGTACAGTTCTGCATGCCGTTGAAGATTACATTTTTCTATTTACATTCTATTGAGTGTTTTCTCCGCCATGTTCACGTTTTTCCTGCTCGGGTGAATGCGCCAGCGGTACATGAGGGGCAGCAGCATCCTGTTGCGTCACGGTCGCGCCCGCTGGAACTTCATTGTGGTTTTCTTCCTGCATGGTTCAAATAAAGAAAACACTGGCTGTCATATCTTGATTACTTTTAATAATCATGCATGCATATAGTTTACGAAAATTCTTTGGATTATATTGAACTGATAATAAAACGAAAAAGAACCTTAAAGCTTTCTTACTTCCATAGAGTTCAAAATAACGACGAAAGTGACCGCTCAGACTCATTTCAGACTCGGTTTTCGTCCGGTCACTAATTCACACAATTTTCAAAAATCAACCTGACGAAATCAAGAACCAAGACACCCGGATTTTCCTTAATTTATAGTGTATGTTAATAGTATGTGCTTTTCAAGAGATGATTTTAGGAATAAAGGTGAAAACTTAAAGGTGTAAACTTAGGTTAAAATAGCAATCAAATTTGACCGGTCAAAATGACCGGCAAGGAAAAAAGTTAACCGGTCACTAGCATTGTCCGTTGCCCGGCGTTATTTTGAGCTCAGCTGCCTACCTCATCATCCTCATCATCGTCAAACTCTTTCTCGTATTCTTCAAATTCTTCATCGGTGAACTCTTTTTCATCGTCAATTGGTTTCCAGTTTTCCTCAGGCGGTTTCTCATATTCCGGATCTTTTGTTGCCCCGATGAATTCATCGTACGACACGAAACCATCGTTATCTTTGTCGACCTAAAATTATGGATTTGCTGACGACAAAATTCCTAGCGAAGCTGTTCTTTGCAAGCAGGAAGTTGGGTTAAACAGAAAATATTGTGTGAATCAAATTAATCAAACTCATGGCTAGTTGCTGTTTTCCACGTAAGGAAAATGCCTTTTCCATAATGTCATCAAACGGTAAAAAAATGATGTTACATCTCAGAGATTGGGTTATTGTCAAGCCATACAAACTACGCGTCATTATATGAAAAAGGTGCATTGTCAGTATTGCATGAACGCATGCATATAAAACGTATAATACCAGAAATTACAGCTTACCTCTTTCACAACGTGTTCACGCATCCTTTGAACTTCTTCATCCAGTGCTCGTCTATCAAAATCTGGATCAGTACTGTTGTGAATCTTGCTAGCCTGAATTGAATGTAAACAGATATATTGAACGAACCGAATAAGAAGGATACAGTCGCTTGAAGTAAGAACCAGGTGCATGTGCGAGCTTCCCTGAACGTGATTGTAAGCAAAGTTCGCGAAATATTGCATGTTTACAATGTACTACAAGGTTAAATCTTCACTTCTTATACTAAACAAATAGCCATACATAGTTAAATTTCTTAGGCTTAACAGTTGTGAATGGACATTTTATTACTAGTTAGTTTCGTACCACACATACAGGGTCCGATTGAATAAAACTCTTCATTTTACATAGTTAAATCCTAGTTAACTCAGAAACACAACGACTCTGATTGGCCAATTCTATCCTTAACTACAGTTAAAAGTTAACTAGTCTTTTATACCACTGGCCCCAGTATATTATGCGCTACTCGGTATAGTCTCTACTCACCATCATTAGACAACTTAAGACTTAGCTGATAAACTACGTAGCCATATAGTGCATGGAGATTATAATAGAAATTAGAAATATTTACCTCACGGTAAAACAAACTTTCCAATTCGTACGGATCTAATTGTCCATCATTATCTTTGTCTGCATAAGAAAATAAATCATGTTTTACGGATGCGATAGCCTTGGTTTATTTGGGTAAAAAGTTGCTACTTAAAAATTGAAGAATAATTGAACATGAATACTTTATCAGTTGGGACCGAGCTATGTATAGTATTTGGGCAGAGTGTGGTAGCTTCTGTAATCTAATTTATAAGCACATGTCTCATTTCTGGCAATAAAGATTGCTGTATTTGATCAGGGAATGTTGAGCATTGGAAAATGCCAAGATCGAACAAAATTGCTTATGATCAAACCATGACATTATTAGTCCGTGGTTTTACTCACGTTATATCAGTTCTTATAACGCGGTATCAGTTCTTGTAATGCGAATTTAATAAATATTTTCATATTTCTATTAACATTATAAATCTCTGGCTACATGTATTAATATAAAACTATATCGCTCGACTCTGCCTCGTTGGCTATTACCTCATGGTATAAGACTCGTGCAAATGGTACATGTATATATTTTTTCCAGATTCTGAAACTTCATTGCCCGGGTTTGCAAGATATCTTTGTTTATCAGAATATGTTTCATTTTATATTTTTATGACTGTTTTACATCTTTCCACATCACACATATCCATCAATTTTTAACCTCAGTCAGTCCTTCTCCCCGTTCTATATATTAGAAGGTATGTAATACAGAATATTCTTGTGTTTCCATATTTTGCCCAATCATAATGTCATTATATACAGTATTTTATATTACCATAACTTACCATGCATTTTGAAGAATGTCCTTGGATTGAATTGATCTTTGTCAAATCCATCTTCTTCTTCCCATACTTCCTCAAGTTGCTGTTTACTGCCCTTAAAATATTACAAAGTTTTTTTCAAGGAAAGCAATTGTTGAAAGCAAACACTAGATATTCAGCATGTTACAATCCTGGCTTTGAATAGGGTTGCACAGAATAGTAAAAAGAAGAGAAAGCTTTATAATTTGGGTAAATTCGAATCAAGTTAATCATGGGAGGGATGGACCCATTGTGGTTTTGTAGTACGGGGAGTACAGCTGTCAACCATCTGCCATATACACTGTAGGGTAGTGTAGAAGCACCAGCTGACAGTTTTTATGTAAGGGGTTTACACCACTACACAGTCCTATGGCTAGCAAATTCACCCCAGGGTGAGTGTCAGGTATCTTCAAATTTTCTGCAAGAGTTGCTAAAATGTTTTCCTATTTTCACCCATATATTAAGGGCATGCATAGCACACTACAATCATTTTGAATTGTTTCACATACTGGATGGTTGACTCTCTGAGCATCTCTGATGTGTTTTTCTCTCAGTCTTCTTCTTTCTTCTGCAGCTTCTTTCTTCTTTTCTTCATCCAACCCCTTTTCTGACACTCTCCGTTTGTGTTCTTTATCCATTTCATGTCTTCGAAATTCATCCTTTCTTCTTTTATCAATCTCATTCATTTCCTCATGGTGCTAGTGAGAATAAAAATCAGAGTGTGTGAAGAAATTAGATTATAAATGATTTTACAGACAAACAACAAATAGTCTAAACACTAAAAATGATAAAAAGAAAATAATGATCACACATATAGCAATTCCACAGGTAGAATAGTTAAGGTAAGAAGTTTATACCAGTACAACAGGTAGTGGGAAGTACATTGAAGACACTAAAATCTGCCTGACATTTCTGCCATGATGTATTCTAGAATAAGAATTATATACACAAGGAATATACAATAATTCAAATGTGTTTTGTTGAAAATAAAAAGCCTTTTTGTTGAAAGCCCTGTTTTTCTCTCAATTTACACCTTTTGTCATGTATTTCTACACTTTAATATATGTATTGATTCAGCTTGGTTTACAACAGCTGATCAATCTACATGCATGCACTATGACATCTGATCCAATTCATCTGTGTGTGAATTAAGCATCAACTAGTAGCCCTTGTCTATTTAATGACTATTTAGAAGCGCTTGTAGGGTATTGTTTTGAGATTTTGTTAAAGCGAAATTCAGTCATATACAAGATGGTTGTTCATGCAAATGCTAAATTATGATGTCATCATTAAAATGAATGTTGCAAAAAATTTTTTTTGGTGTGCTGAATGCAACCTATTGTAGCCAAAACATAACGTGTCTGGCACTGCATGTCTCAATTTTAAACTTCAAAGAAAGTACCAGTAATACAGAGTAAATATCTTAAGAGTTCACTGAGGAAGGGGTGTCATTAGAAGGGGTGTATATTCTTATATAATATATTCATGATCAAAAGAAATCAGTCAGGCATGGGACAATTATATATTCACCCCCAAGCAAGCTTCTTGCAATGGACTAGTGCACTGGGGCAGATAGATGCACAAAGCAACATTTTCATGCCTTACGTTTATATTGCATGAATGTCACTACTCCGTGATTAGGCACAAGCCAATGAGATGTGAATTCTACGAATTCAGTGAAGCTACTATGATCCAACATGGTGCCATGGTGCTAGAGGCAACAAAAATGTGCTATAGTGTAGAGAATGACTATGGGCCCATGCATGCAAATTCCAATGTAGCTTTGCTAAGCTTTGCTGACAACTGCCAGGCAAGTTGTCTAGAACCTGCACATTTTACGGTGTTTGCAAAGGCAAATTCAGTCTTATTCCCTGGAAGTAAGGGTACTGAAATGTCATGCAGTATATTCACCTTAGCAAGCAATTTCTTCAAATCTCCTACTTCAAATGTATTCGGATTTTCCCTGTCGTTCAAAGGATTCCAGTACTCCCTATGTATACCACGACGAACATCTTCTTGCTTTCTCAATAACTGTCTCTGAGACTCAATCTCTTTGCGTTTAAGTTCGTCCAATTTAGTACGTATATGATGACTTGCAAAATCGATCTCTTCAGCAATCTTACCGCTTCGAATGTCTTCCTCTGTCACATTCTCAAGTCTCTTTGAGAAGTTCTCATCTTCCTCTAGTATTTCAATAACTTGCTTTAAATATTTGACATAAGCTGGGTCTTCCTCCTTTCGCCATTCATCTTTCTTCTTCTCTGAATCGTTAGGTTTCTGTACAGGTTTGCAGTGAACAAGTATAACCAGGGATAAAAGCACGACAATCGTGTAAAATGCACCACGATTATGCGTCATACTTGCCAATTTCAACAGGTAATAATAACAAAACCAGAAAATAAACCACACTCTATTAATAATGATCGATCAAATATCAACTTCACGAACGTCCAGTGGGCAAAATTTTACCCAAACGAGTACTGTGCGCGTTCGGCGTAAATGTATGATACAGAAATTTGAATATAAACAGAAGAAAATGAGACGATTCCGCCAAAATTGTGCGTCCACTTCCTTTGGCAAACGTGGCCAAAGCAGACGTTCTAATGTAATGAACCACAAGGCGTCAAAGGTCAAGGTCAATTTGGAGTCTCTCATCGTTATTATGAACAATTTGGGATACACAGGGATGCCGTTGCTACCGGTTCAACATAGAGTCAAGTTTCGGTAGAATTAATTTTTGCCCAATTTTTTTTATATCCAAGGTTTTACCTCTATAATAACTGAGGCTCAAATTAATAGAATGGAAATACTTTTAGAAATAGAGAAAACAGGTTAGCTTAAGAGTTTAGAACGTCTTTAATTATTTGTGAAGCTCTGAATTCGTTTTAAAATTATCCACATATATACTTAGTAATTCCAGATATCTACTTGGTAAATCCCTATATACTCCTTATTCAATACATAATCATCACCATTGAACTGAAAAGAACCCTATTATCCCTGAACAGAATCATTACCATAGAGATTATAAGTAACACGTGTTATTTATAATCCCTATGATCATTACTGCATTCTATTCTACCTACTATCATTTGATTCATTTCTGTATAAAGTTGTTGTCACTTGTCAATCATCTTTGTTTGTTTTACTGGCGTTTCTCACGAGGTCTTATATATTTTGTCACAAGCGAAGCCCGAACGACTCGTAGGGCGGTGGTTATGGTCAAAGACGAAAGGCAAGGAGATGAAGAGACAGCCGTTTCAGAAAGATATAATTGTGGCTTGGATTTCGCTAAGAATCAACTTCAGAAACATGGATGGAGCGAAGGTAGGTCCGTAGGTGTATCTGAATTTAAAAAGCACAGTATTTCTTGATGTTCAAGTCATCAGTTTGAATGTTTGTTTAATGCTCCGATATTTTGGCGTTTATTTCATATTTAGTAAAGCTTGTTTCGTTTTACAGATCAGTACTTGATCTGTGATCAATACGTTCTTCACATAATGTACACAGCAAAACAATACACGTGGAAATAGCAAAAAAAAAACCCTAGGGGAAAGGCAAAGCGCCTTGAGCTGAACCCTCCTTCGCAACAACGGTGCGGTTTTAACTTTTAACGGATTTTCAAAGCTGAAAATTCCTCTTCTAAGCCGAAGCTTTTGCAGAATTCGATGTTCTAAAAGCTGAAAATTTGCTTAGTGTCAATTGTGAAGTTGGTTTTAGATGGAAATTAATAGTGTTGGGGGCCATCTACAAATATATTTCGTCTCAGCATGCGTTTTGTCCGCCATTGCTTGAACGGCGATTGTTTGCTAGGTCCGTTTTCCACTGGTTTTCCAATTTCATCTCCGCGTTTAACCCTATCGCAGCAAAACGTGTCGGACTGCTTCGAAAATTGCCCGTTTTTTTAAGGCTTGAGAAACCGTTGCGAGAGACCCTTGGCCCTGTCCCTTTAGATAAAAAAATATTGGTGGCGCCATTTTATACAATGTTGACAAAAGTTGATGACGCACGCTTTATATTCCTGGCGGCTATGTATGCTATTACTGGCTTTGAATAGTTGCTCAACCGCCCATAATTTCAATACATAAAACATAGTATTTCACAGTATTTCCCTCTATTTAAAAGGTATACTTTTTCTATGAGAATTCTACTGTCAGTGTATCATATTGTATCCAACGCATAATGTATAGATGTCCTGTGATGATGAATAACAGTATAAGTTATTTTGAGGTTCACCTCTATTAGTTAGTTTGGTCCTTTAATTTGTAGTCCTAAAATAATAACCTATTGCCTCAATCTCCAAATGCATTCCAGACTCCCTTTTTGCCTTGGTATGTACATGACTGTAGATTTGAGACATTAGTATGAAAAAGTAAGGGTGGATGGATTTGGTCAATTGATTTCATAATTTTGGCTGCATAATAAAAGTCCAAACTAAGATTCTAAGATTCTTTGTGGTTGGTGAGTCACCAGGTCATATGGCAATTTCCTCTTACATGGCAAAATGGTTACTTCAGGTTCCTTCATATGTATACTGCAATTTTACTACAGAAGAATGAAACATTGATTGTGTATATGTATATAGCTGGTACGGTATATGTTTTGTACAGTTGAAATATTTTGGTGAAAAATTACAATTTTACAATGTTTTTAATCATTTTGGCACCATAACTTTATGGCAATGACAAACAAACACTACCCAATTATTCCAAACCAGCTCCTATCAACATGCACCTGAATTGTAAGTGTATTTGCCATGGAAAAATATACTGCTACCCTGAATGAAAATTTTGATTTTTAATAAGCACTGGTATGAAGATAATCAGTATTTTCCATGTTTCATTATGAAAGGTACCGTAGCAGGCACAAACATTTGTATACCTGTACCGTATGTAGATAAAACACATTATAATGCACATAAAATAAGGAATTGTGTGAAATCTCTTGCATGTATTTGGTCAGGAATCTAATTTTGACATTCGACCTAGATGTTAACAGGAGATTTAGATGCTTGATTATTGGGTAGATAAACCTAATGTTTGATGCTTATTTTTGTAATGGAGTTAACTCCTTGTTTTTGAAATTGATTTGCCACATGTATATACATGTAATCATTTATCATTAACCACTCTGTAGCATGCCTTAGATTTGACCAAAAAAGGGCTTTGGGCAATGAATTTTTCTGACATGTCAGTGAGGTAATGTAAAATGGATATTTTTTAGTACACAATGAGGAATAAAATTTCATTTTCCAAGATACAGTGTCAGACTGTTATTGGTTGATGCCTTAAAATGTGTCAAGCTTAAATTCCCAACACATTAGCCGATACACTGTCCTATTGTGTAGCCATGGTCATGAGTTTTCCTAACAGTTACATATATCATTTTCGATGTTTTAGGCAAAGGACTTGGTAAAGATGAGAGTGGTAGAGCTAATGCAATCAAAGTTGGTGTGAAAAATAACAAATTGGGGGTGTGTACATATTGTAGATGTTTTCTTAATAATACAATAAGAATTATATTTTTTATTATGGAGAGTATACAGTAGTTATTGATTTTCTGAAGCTGTCTGTAACAGCAGGGTAACAACTAGTGTAAATTGATTGCTATGTGCATTATTGCAGCTAAATCAGCTGAGTTGTAGTTCCTAAAATGTTTAATAAAAAACATGCAACTGATGCAAGTGTTGTTGAATTATACCTACTGTAAAATAGTAACATGAAGTGTATTTTTACACCATCCTTTTTAGGTGGGTTTTGATGTTGGAAAAGAGTTTACAAACAACTGGTGGGACCAATTATTTAACAAAGCTGCCAGTAATATTGTGGTTGAGCAATCTGAGGTACTACATTGAATATTAGACCAACAATATATTATGGTACATGATTGAATTGATATTTGCACTGCTCTTAATGGTAGAAATACACACACAGAGAAATGCATTAACATTCATTTCGTGTTTTTTTACATTATTATTGTAAGGCTTGCCATAATTTCAGGCAAGGTCATTTGACAAGTTATGTGTACTGCTGACCAAATAATTAGTAGTTATGGAATAGTGGTACTTTTAGCAAGAGGAGAAACCAGTGTGCCTGGAAAACCCAGGTGGCATTTTAATGATGCAGTCATACCAATGGTTGAACCTTCTTTTATGTATTATCAACAACATTTCAGTAGCAGAACTGAAGTGTTTTTTATACTTTTGTAGAAAGGGGTACAAGTTTCCAAGAAGGACGATGGTTCAAATGATATTGTGAGACCAAAGAAGTTATGGAGAGTTAAAAGAAAAGAATTGTATTATGGAAGATTTGTTAAGGTGCAATATTGCATGTACTAACTGTATGCTTTAAATTTTTACCCTGCATCATGAAGAAAAAAATTCTGTGATATTATATGAACATTCACAGATAATATAGCAGGGGTGGATCCAGCACTAGTGCACTAATTTGCATGACACAAGAAAACTGCAAAAAATAACCACTTTGTTTTGTGATGCAAATTTGTGCACTAGTGCTGAATCCACCCCTGTAATATAGGACTGTGCATTAGTGAAACATCCATCTCATGTTCTTGGTCATATGATCTGTTGTTTTTCAACATAAAGACTTCTCCTTGATTGACAAACCGTCACGATTCTGAGCTTTGCTTTAGCAAATTTGGTAAAATTACTAAATCCCATTTATTTAAAATTTTGAATCAAGGCCACAAATGATGGTGATGCATTTCCTCCATCCACACTGGAAACTCCTGAAGTAACAACCAAGTATGTGGAAAGTATTAGTTAACTTTGCATGCTATGATCCTTATTACCCAAGCAGTTTGCAGATTGGAGAATTTTACATTGCATAAAAGTCTGACACACATGTCAATGGGTCTGTTTCAAAATAGTTGTGATAGATGATACTCCATGTTCAGGGGTTTGTGCAGGTTACACATTACACACCATTCATTCCTTACATGAAGTTTCCTCTATTTTTTCCAGTTTTACAGATGAGGAAATATTCAAAGCTTGTGGTGGGAGAACAGCTCATAAGTAAGTCTGCTTTTCATAAGTTGAAAATCCTATGGCCATTTTTTATGCAAAAAATGTCTTCAACTAAATTTGTTGGGATTTCAACTAAGGTTTGGGAATGGTACTTGAATTTACCTAACTGGCTAGCATTGAAATTTAGGTCTGTACTTATAGCCCCACTAATGGTGTAAATTGTATTTTATTTTAAGGTCTGCCCGACATGGTCATAAATTGAGTGGGAAGTTAAAAAGGGTTGCTGATCAAGAAGGCGAAGAGTAAGTTTCCTATTTTTTTTTCTTTACAAACAAGAATGTTGCCAATGAAACACAGAATGGAACTTCAAAATACTTATAACCCCATGTAGTGCAGAATGTTTGTTCAACTCCCACAACTATAGTTTGCTTGAAAGTTGAAAATGTTAATTGTGACTGTCCCCTGAAGAAAAATTTTCGCATAAAAAATAAATCCTTACTACAGGTTTTTGTACTAAGCTAAACGAATAGGGGAAGTGTACATTTGGTAAAAGACAAGCAATAACAGTTGTGACTATTATTCTATGAGTAAATACGATAATTTGTGTTTGCTCTTTGTAAACACTTTCATTTTACTAGTTAATATATCTTACCTTTTATCTTTTATCATCTGCAGCAATCCCTGTGAAAAAATAAAGATGAAGAGAAAGAAACGTTCAAGAAAGTCGTTGTCATCATTGCCTATTCAAGATAAGACGGACATTGATGTACTTAACCACAATGGTTGTGATGAAGTGATCAAAGAAAAATTAACTTTACAAAGTGAGATTGTTTCATTAAAATGTTCCACCAGAAAGCGAAAATACGATTCAGGCGATGAGCAAAGTAAATCTTTACAACCACGATTTGAAGAGATACATAGTGAATGTGATCAGAATTTGGGTATGTCGGTGACCACCAAGAAAGTTAAGAAAAAAGTGAAAAAGAAATCAAAGAAACTGTCAAAAAAAGCAAAATGACAGACGATATTGAAAACTTCATCATAAGGAATGACATTGATGGACAAATACAGTATGCAATGGTGATTTGAAGCAAAAAACGAGAAACTGAGGAGAAGAGAAACGGATCAAAACTGTTGATGCCAAGACCGTGAATTATTTGGAACGATTCTTATCCAAAAACGTTATATTGAAATAATCCTGGGCTACAGTTCAAGTCGCGGTAAGTGATATGCCTATATTCATTCTAGTTTTGTTTTAATGCACATGTTAAACTTGGCAATTTCCGCGTATATATTTAAAGTTCTTGAACAGTTTCCTCGTCGTGACTTCTAAAAAATCTGGCTGAAACATTTACCGATTCTTAAAAAAAAGCAACTAAAATATGTCGAAATGCTTTATTTCTTTACCGACATCCGCAACGAGGTTGAGTTATGCCGTGGTGAGTGTTTCTTCGTAAAAATGATTGATTTAGCACATGTGAAAGTGTTACACCGAGCATTCAAATTCGCATTGAAACGCAAGTGCCTACGTTTTGCTACAACAATGCATGCTTAGTTCGTGTCTTGCTACTGTGAAATTTGCCGTTGTTAGTATTTCTTGGTAAAAAGAATTGATTTAGCACATGTGAAAGTGTTTACACTGAGCATTCAAACTCGCGTTGAAAGGCAAGTGCCTTCCTTTTGGTACAACAATGCATGCCTAGTTCGTGTCTTGCTGGTGTGAAATTTGAGAGCGTTAAAGCAAAGATAGGTTACAGTGAACCACTCGGTTGATTTTGAAATGGTTGCAAGAAGGTGCATCAAAATTTCTTGCCACGGAATTATGATCAATACTGCACGTAAAACCTAGTATTGTGTACAACAATAGTCGATGCTGAGTTCACTTTCAAAAGATCTGTATACGCGCTATCTGCAAAGTGAGGTGATCCATAAATAAGCAACGAGCGTTGTACGTTAGAAATGTAGGTTGGCGTTTAAAAGCTCGGTCTACAGTAGCTCGCATGTTTTGTTTACTTCAGGGCGCTGGTGCGTGTTGGTCTTGTTTAATTGATCAATGTTAAAACTTGTTCACAATTTAAAATATTTATCATCAACTTCTAGTAAAATTACATCAATCAATAACCCTGTGAACCAAATCGTACAACTGAAGCTATATATGTTCACTAATAATTTTATCGAATTAAGCTTTTCGTCACGTTATCCTTAAGTGCTTAACCGCGCAAAATATAACAAAGAAATGTTTGAACCAAGCTAGTATCCGCCTAGAACTTATGTCCTCGAATCGTGATACTTGAACTTTGCACGGCATACAATTGTTTCGCTGAAAATCCCATGGACTGTCATTACACGACAGGAAAAGCAATTTTGTGTGATTGCGAAGGGCCACTATAATATTTACTTTCATGTCATGCTCGGTGAAGTGTTCCCCATGTAATTTCCTGATCGATATTGACCTTTTATTTTTTTGCAATACTATTTAAACATTTTCTAAGCGTCTCGTAACAATTATATAAATGTAAAATACGGTGTATTTCCTTCAAGCTTTCTTTCTTCACCTGGCGGCCTATTTCTTGCGTATACGACCTATCTTGATCGCGCTGGCTTTGGTTAACAACTCTGGGATCATTAAACTTTTCTTCATGACTATCCTTGATAATATTTTTCAACTTGAATTTTTTTCAACGGCAATTTTTATGTATACCGCTATACGTCATAATTATTCTTCAAAATATTTTAACTCGTGCGCAAGTAATTTACTTTACTTTTCGAGACATTTAACTTTGGAATGACTTAGGTGCATGTCGTGTTCGCAATTTGAATAGTCAGTAAACTTATATAATGCAGTATGATATACGCGTGAACAGTCATTAAGAGGTCCAAGGTTAATCTAAGTGTTAAAAAGGTGTTTTTATCTTCTACGCGAGGTAGGAGATCTTTACAATAGGTTAACTAATGTTTACTAATGTTCTCTTCTTGGTCTTCTTTTTCTCTTCGGATTCTTTGTCCTTTCGGATTCTCCTTGTTTTCTGTCCTGTCTTTTGTCGTTGGTTCAGTAATGTCGAGCTTCTCTGACGTTTCACACGCTTTTTTACTCCGCTAGTCCACTGAAGGTTCGGGTGTTGTGCACGCCCTTTTGTAGTAACGGTAGAGGGAAACTTGCACACGTCATCAACCAGAGTGGGCTGATCCTTATTCAACCAATCAGCGTTGTAAGTTAGAAATGTGGGTTGGCGTTAGAGCTCGTTTCAGCTCTCATATTTTGTTTATTAAAAAGTATATTTTATTTTACTGTTCGTCCAAAAGTGTTAGGTCAAAGTTTTCAATCGCGTCCCAAATCCTTTGTTCTGGAGTACCCATGTGGATTCCCTCAAATTTAACCACCAAATCAATGTTTTCCTTCATCATGTATAGGTAGAAGTCTTTGTATTTCTTCAGTTCTTCCTTCTGTTTATAGTAATTTTTCTTTGATCTTTCGGTCTCTTTTTGTTTTCGGTTCATTTTTTCTTTGACTTTGGTTGATTTCACCAACTTCTGTTTCGTACCCAGCCGGAATACAGCGGTATTCTGATTCACAATAGCAGGGCTTGGGCGGACAGATCGTAATTTGCAGAAGTCGAAGGCCAAAGCCTCGGGCGAAATGTAAGGTGAGACCGGATGACTCTCAGTTTGTGTCATTGCAACTTTTGTCTTTAGCGCTGTCGTAGTTTGAGTTGCTACATATCAATGCTGTCGGGGTTGTTTGACTCGTTGGTACGAACACTACTGGAATATACCGGACGTATGGTTCCACTGTAGCGTTCATAAGGCCGTTCCGTTCTCCAAATTGTTAATTGGCTTTTATTTCTACGTGAGGTCGTTGGATCTTTACAATGTTGAACTACTGTTCATCAACACTACTGGGTTCTCTCTAAACCTTAACAATATATCAAACAACAACGGCTTCAGTGAAGAGCCCACAAGCATGCAGACAGTCATTAAGACAGTCACTGCTTGATGGGGTCAATAATGTACCTTTTCCTTTGTCTCCAGTTCCCCCACCCTCTCTATTATACCTAGGGTTTCCTGCTCTCTTATTATCTCATCATATAGCGTTGATAAGGCCGTTCCTGCACGAAATTTTTAAATGGCTGAGTGGGCACGTTTGAGGTATGCGGATCCTGCGTTTTTCCATATATTTCTTGCGTTTCTTCGTCGGAAAAGATAAACACCACAGTGTAAGTGAAATCTTGGCAAACAACGATCACACTGCACCCCATTTTGCTTTCTTTCCACCCTGTAGATCAAACTGGTACTGACATAAGTCTCCATCTCCACAAAAACTAGTGAATGACTTAGAGAAAGTATTGTAAGCTAAAAAACAAAGCACAAAATCATTGTCACCCATGAAAGGTGGCAAATCTAATCGACAGTTTTTCTGTTATATGCAATATTATTATAAAATGCATATAGCTTATTGAATAGAAATATATAAAATAGTTAAACAGGTATAAATGATTATAACCACTTTCATCCCGGCATTTTCGTATTGGGATAATATGATTTCTTATGCCATCTCCACCTAGTGTTCACCAAAGGATGTGAATTGGTGGTATATTGGGAGAAACATCCAGAGGAATTATCTCGGTATTGCACAGCTTAGTGCCACGCGCATTGCATTGCAGTGCTGTACAACACGACGTTGCAATGCATCCGCTATATTCTTTTCCATTTACCCTCAGAATGCTGGCAGTGATGATCCGCGTGGATCCCATGCGGGACATCGGAAGCTGTTGAATTTTCCCGAAGCTATGCGTGAACTCCCCGCGCGAATAGAATTGTTATGTAGTTTTTATTTCTTCTATTTACGCAAGGTAGGAGATCTTTACAATGGATTAACTATAATGTTCATTAATGTTAGTTTCTGGCTTCGTCCTTTCCTCTCTTCTCTTCAAATATTCGTCCTTTCGGAACTTCGTCGTTTTCTGTTCTTGTCTTGGCTGTCTGTTCTGTCAGGTTGAGCTTCCTAACGTTTCATATGCTTTTTACTCCGCTAGTCCACTGAAGGTTGGGGTGTTGTGCACGCCCTTTTATAGTAACGGTTGAGGGACATCTGTAAACGTCATCAACCAGAGTGGGCTGATCCTTATCCAACCAATCAGCGTTGTTAGTTAGAAATGGGGGTTGGCGTTCGAAGCTCGTTCCAGCTCTCATATCTTGTTTGTATAAGGCGTTGACGAACTAATCGAGTTGGTCTTTAGCTCTATCGATCAATACTTTCAAATATTCACAACTTAAAATATTTATCATCAACAAGCATTAAAATTATCAAACATTGTTTCTGTGAACCTTATTTTATAACTTAACTATTTATTTTACTATTTTAATCGAATAAAACTTTCTCTGACGTAATCCTTAAAATGCTCGACCGCGCATTATAAAAAACACATTTGATTGACATGAGAACTTTGCAGCTGCCTAAGGCATCCTGTTTTTAAGATAAAATTTCGCTTCGCTTGGGTTTTTAAGGTATGTAAACTTTACATGTTTACCCAAACCCACTGTTTACCTAATAACAACAGATTGGTCAAACTGATCGACACTAAAACTAATACTCCATTAATTATTCACCCAAACTGTCAAGCTTGCAGAAGGAAAAATAATTGATATTTGCGAAAGGCCAAAATTATATTTACCCATCCATTTTGTGGCAATAATCAATTACTCATCCATGCGTGTCAGGTGATATTTTTTATTTTTATATTATTTTAATATGCATATAACTAAACATAATAAAGCCTCGCGTAACAGAATAATGCGAGGGCGTTTAAGGAATGGAGTAAACAATGCATAATAATGAAGCGTAAATACGCACAATATGTTTGTTTGACAGCAATTTACTTGAATTACACAAATGCTGGTTTACTTATCACGCAGTAAGAAAATGCGAAGAGTATATTTTATTTTACTGTTCGTCCAAGAGTGATGTGTCAGTTCTCAATCGCGTTCCAAGTACTCTGTTCTGGAGTACCCATGTGGATTCCCTGAAATTTAACCACCAAATCAATGTTTTCCTTCATCATGTATAGGTAGAAGTCTTTGTATCTCTTCAGATCTTCCTTCTGTTTATAGTAATTTTTCTTTGATCTTTCGGTCTCTTTTTGTTTTCGGTTCATTTTTGCTTTGACTTTGGTTGATTTCACCAAATTTTGTTTCGTACCCAGCCGGAATACAGCGGTATTCTTATTCACAATAGCGGGGCTTGGGCGGGCCAGATCGTAATTTGCTGAAGTCGAAGGCCAAAGCGTCGGGCGAAATGTAAGGTGAGACCGGATGACTCTCAGTTTGTCATTGCGTCTTTTTTATTACATCT